CTCTAGTGGTCATGATGTCCATTCCGAGAATAAGTTCATCTTCGATGTCTGCTACTAACACTGGATGTTCAAAACTGGTGCTCCCAATAACAAAATTAAGGTTTACTTCTCCATGGACAGCAGCGGAGCCCCCCGTAGCAGTACGTAGTCGCCATTGTGTTGTTTTAACCTTCTTCGATGTTTTAAGAATGTCCGGTCTGATGATAGTTTTCGTCGCACCTGTATCCAACAGCATGGTCCGGAACTCTCCATCTACAAAACCATCCACAAAAATGCTGTTGAATTTGTGTTGTAGTGAGGCGACTTGAACAGTTTTCGTTGGGGCATGTTGGGTACAGGTCGACGTGTGCCCCTTCATTTCGACCCTTAGTAGTTTTCCGACATCGACGAAGCCGGTTCTTCGTTCTTCTCCTTACAACGGCTTCGCACGTGTCCCACCTGTCCGCAGTTCCAGCAACGAATCGGTCCCTTCTTGCCCATGTACTGGTCCATTACCTTCCGAACAATCCCTTCCACGGATTCGTCGGAACATTCGTCGATGGCCCGTACTCTTCCTAAAGACAGAGAACTTTGTTTCGCGGCCTCAAATTCTAGGGTACGTGCTAAAGCATCCACCAAGTGCGTTGGGTGGGCTAGGAGAAGTGCTTGTCTTGTCTCGTTGTCACGTAAGCCGTCGGAGAATGCCTGTACTGCCAACCGCTCCATAACATCCTCTGGCGTAGCAGGGTACGCAAGGCGAACGAGGCGGGCTACGTCGGCTTCAAACTCCTGCAGAGACTCATTTGACTTTTGAATGCGATTTTTTAGCTGGGAATGATAGACATGTTCCAAATGAGCTTGGCCGTACCTCATTTCTAAATGTCGTACCAATTGCTGATAATCTCCCTGTTCCGATGGTGACAGTGTCTGCAGGATATCAGTCGCATCTCCCCGCAGTGCGATAGTCAAAGCGGTAGCTTTTTCAGCGATTGTCCAGCCGTTTGCTCTCGCAGCGGCTTCAAATTGGCAAAAGTAGTTGGCCCAAGCGGTTTTTCCGTCAAACTGCGGAGGTTTCATAACTGATTTTGAGGTATACCTATTTTCGACTAGTTTCGGTCCCTCCGATGTTTCTTGACATTTTGGTGAATTTGACTTCGCTATTTCTTCTCTTAAAATTTCGATTTTTCTATTTACATCTTCCTCAATCTCTGTTATTTTGTCTTGTGTATCTGTTATCTTTTCTTCTAATTCCCTGGAATTTTCTGTTATCTATTCTTCTAAATTAAGTATTTTATTATTAAAGCTGGCCTGTATGTCTTTAGAATTTTCTGCGATCTTATCTTCTAAAATATTAATTAAATCCTGGGAATTTTCCATAATCTTATCTTTCAAACTGTCTTCTAAGTTAATTATTTTACTATTCAAATTGCCGTTTAAATTGTCTTGCAATTCCCGGGAATTTTCTGTAATTTTGTCATTCAAACTGTCTTCTAATTTTTGTAGGCACGAGTCAAGGTCACCTTCCAACTCAAAGCAAAATGTGTCAGGATCCTCACCTCCTCAATCAAAACGTCTCTCAGTCTGGCTTGCAAAATGCTTTTCTTTCCATCTGTCTCGCATTCCCTCTCTTCCAGTATGCATTTTAATTCCGACACTTTCAGGTCTTTCAATTTTTTTGGAGCCATCGTTAGTCTTTTTATTTTTCTAGTCTATCACACACGCCACACTTGACACCAATTGTTACGTTTTTCGTCGGTTGCGTGTGGATAGAAAGTCACAATTTATTTAAACACTATTTATTTAACACTAATTAACAAAAACAATAACGATAAAAGACTTATAGAACTATTTACAAACGATTTATAACTAAGAATTTATTTTGCATTTTAGCGCGTCAACTGCACTGGTATATTTATAACTGCCCCCTGTAGGCCACAGCCGCCGGCTTTTATACCGACAGGTAAAGAACTCTAGAATAGTCCATAGATCGTTAGGTGCGTAGAGTAGGTTTTCGAATGTTCTCGTATGTACTAGTCCATTCCAGTGGGACTCGCTTCTTGACGAACGAATGAATCATAACGGTGTCTATTCTTTAATGCGATGTTAAGGTCATCTGAGGGCGGGACATATAGTTAGATTAGGTCGAGTCCACACGGGTCCGCAACAGTATTATTAGAATTAAAATCAAAGTAAGTTAAATACGAGTAATTGACACCATTGTAAAAAGTCTACTTTTCACATTTATTTTAAGCTAGTTGACCAGAGTGACTCGACGAATTTCTTACCGCCTAAACAGTAAAGCGAAGAGAGAGTTTTTTACCAATCGTATGATATGGATGACTGATTGACCAAATGATCTGGCATAATTGAGACCAATCGATTTGATAATTGTTGTCATTTGTTCTCTATGAGTATTTTCTATATATTTCAATATCTTTCTAGATTCGAAATGCTATTTTCCCACTATTTTCCGTTAAATTACTATTTTGTAGTTATATCACCCATTTGAAGTGGACTTAAGTTGTCAATTGTAAAAGATAGCGCAGTTCCAAACCTAATTTATTTAAAAATAATTTTATGTATAATTTTTTCATTAATTTTTCTGATATTTTGATATTTACTTATAGATATTAACTTAGATATGGTGCCCGGTGGCGTAGAGGTACAGCTCACGTCTACCATTCAAAGATTGTGGGTTCCAATCGTACAGCCGGCATTTCATCAGCCGACTATTTTTAATAAAATAAAAATAGTTTGGGTACCTAGGTCGACTCAGCCTTAAATGAGTACCTGGGATTCATAATCCTGAAGTAATAATAGGTGGTCGAAGCGTAATGCACATTACCTTCCTTGTATACCGAACGGCTCTAGTATTGCAAGCTGTACCTTGCTACTCCCAAGGCGTTAAACGCTATATACGGGAGCTATTTTATTTATATTTACTTAGATCGTATACCAGTGTCGGTCGGCATTTCTGGCTTTCGGTACTGATTTTCGTTGTACCTACGAATGGCCCTGTCAATGCGCTCAATATACAAGCAAGTATATTCCACAGCGCATAAAGTCTAGCGCTGGGTTAAATATTAATATAATAAAATTGTCTCTCTCTCACTTATAAGATCTAGACAAGTAAAGAGGGGTAAGTAACAGTATATCAACTACAGTCGCGTCGTTAAAAGGCGATGTAGTAAAGAAAATAGAAAAGTCCAAACGTGGCAACTTTTTAGTTCAGTTTCTTAAAAGCTGTGGCGAAATAACCATACTTTTTTCAAGAGAAACATTTTTTATTTTATTTTCGGCCCTACCATTAATTATATATAAGATAAATAATAACCCCATACATTTTTCATAATATTTCATCTTCGAAAATGTTGAAAGTTTCGTCTAGAATTTACAACTCACCTTACATTATGTATATAGTCAAGTTTAAGCTTGCCAGTAGAGAAAATATTGGTCATGCAAATTTCTTTCACCATCGGATGCATACATTTTTAATATAATGTTGCCAAAGTCAGCGGTTTATGCAGGTGTATACATATAAAATGTAAAGTAACAAAATGTTGACAAAATTCTTAAAATCTTTTAATATTAGTGTAAAAAAAGGTATTACATTACTTTTTTATATAATTTTGAAAAAAATTATAAAATTATATAAAATTTTTTTAATTTTAAACAGAATTTAGAATTTATTTTCCATTACTAAAAAGAATATTTTATTGTAAATATTCACTGTCAATATACCGTGTGTTATTTAAAATCTTGTTTCGAACTCCTGTATTATGAAATTGGAAAATATTGTTTCGATCTGAAGGCGCGTACACGCGTACACACCAAAGAGATGTTAGCAATAACGATTCCAAACGTTATTATTATGCTTGTAAATGTTTTCAAACTTTCTCAACTTCTCCACAAAAGTGGCATTTATTTACAACAGTTGCTTGCAAACCAATCTGAACGCATCTATTGGGTTTTCGCCTGAATTTTTGCCTTGCGTCGTGTATTTTATTATTCACCTAAATGTAAATAATTTAAAATAAAAAACAAAGTTTGCGTCTATGGTTTTTTTGTAATAATGTTGCATTTAATAGAATAAAATAAACAAAACAAGGAACAGAAACAACATTTAGGTGTTTAATTTTTAAAAACGATGGTTTCTTTAAACCTTTGAGTTGTCGATTATTTAAAGACAATTTTTGAATAACCCGTGTTATTCAATAATTTAGGTTTTGATATCCCACTAGTGCCCAACAGTGTTTTCGTGGTTCTACTCGAGATTGTTTTATTTCTAAATTTTAAAAACAAAATTACAGATGCGCCTCTACCGAAAGCATACTGCAAATTCAAATAAACGCAAATCTTTTTAAGTACTGAAACTATACTGAAACATAGGGAAATCTGTTAAATTTTCTCTCTATTTTGCGATTTATTTGGATTTATCACATTTTAAAAATCTCCTTCGCCATTTCGTCAAGAATACTAATTAATTCTGCAATTTAATATGAGTTTCCATATAATTTCGACTTCCAAAAACACCGAGGACATCAAAAGTATAATATGATGAAAGAAAAAACGGTGTCAGCGATGGCTATGATATGAAGATCACTGTCATTTCATACGTAAAATTATATAGGGAATGTCATCGATCGTCATTTCCGAACCAACTGGACGCCATTTTGGACGTACGGTATCATAATAGGATACCTGTCTTTTTCATAAGGGTACACAATAATAATTAGTGCTCCTTTAACCTGTGCCGTCTTTATTCTATCCTGTATGTATTAAGGTTCTCTTTCCACTGCCGCCATTCGATTCAAATTACTCATTATTATTTTTAGTGACATTTTGAACATATGTGTATATCTGATCGGTATATGAAGCTGAAACTAAGGGTGTAAAATCTCAGCATATTTTTTACGGTTTAACACACTTGTTTTGCGTGTAATGTGTATCAACTTGTTGTTGTTTAGGTATACTTGACTTATTATATTATTTCGTGATGATGAATTTGTTTTTTGTTTCAGAGATTTTTTACCACGGGGAACTGGAATTGTGACACGAAGACCATTAATTTTGCAACTGATTCATTCTAAATATGGTAAATATTTAAGTACTGTAGTATTGAAATAATAATATATTCTTATCTTTATAATCGTTAATATACATATTATATGTATTAAATCTACATTATTATTGAGATTAAAATTAAAAAAAAAATCGAATACTAGCACTTATCATTTACTATTTAGTATTTTTTTAAAACAGTTATCAATATAGCAGTATAGTGATCGAAAGTGATCGCAAAAAAAGGCGTCAAACTGGCAATGTGGACTGGCAATCGATGATAATTTTGACGAAGTCAATCTCTAGACGTTATTTATTACTGGCGTTAAACTTATACAGGGTGAGTTTCCTACGATGTTCTCTATGGGTATCTCGGAAACTACTGGAGATAGAGAGTCGGTTAAATGGGGGAAAGAATTGCAGTTTTGTAGGGTCATAAATATGCGCCTTTCAGATTTTTGAAAAAATTCATGGCTTACTAGATATTTCGAAACAAAAACAAATTTTGGCTATTTTAAAAATGGTTCCTAATTCCATTATAATCTATTATAGACAAAAAAATTTCAGATAAACGTTGTAGATAATCACTACCCTAATGAGTCTGTGTTCTCCGATTTTTTCTAAAGCCTGTCATTTTTGACATATGACACAAACATGTTTTTTTTTAAATGGAAACCATAGTTGGCCATGACTTCATAAAAAGTGCAATTTTTTAAGTTTTTGAGCGAAATAAGCTATAATATGCTTTTTAAAAACACTAAATCACCACAATACACCAAAACACTTTTACTTTTACACTGGACGCGCGTTTCGCTAACCATGTTAGCATCATCAGCAGATGATTATAAACTGAAATAAAAATTTGCCACGCCCACTCGGTGCCCACTGAGCGAGTATATAAACGCTCAACTTGTAGATTGTACTTTATTTTATAATCATCTGCTGATGATGCTAACATGGTTAGCGAAACGCGCGTCCAGTGTAAAAGTAAAAGTGTTTTGGTGTATTGTGGTGATTTAGTGTTTTTATTTTGCTGTTTAACACCAAAGGTTCCAACCCTCAACTGTAATTAATATGCTTTTTTCACAAAATTACTGAGTTATATCCAATTCTTATCTTTCATGACTAATTTCACTTAGTTAGCCATGGAAACAAGTTCAATCGTCGCTGCTCTCAGAAATGTGAAATTGTCACATCCAAACTTAGTGTAGTAAATTAAAGTAAACAAAAATTGTAATTATGAATTTTTGAAATGAAATAAAGCGTGTAAGTAGAATTATTAGTTCAACTTTTCTTGGCCATAGAGTTTCGAGAATATGTTGACCGGCGAACGTTACTTACGTTTTTTAGAGAACGGTTTTAGAAGACATGTTGTTATCCCTTTTAGGTCTTTTTTATGCGGTATGGTTAACAACAAGGTTTACAAAAGAACTTATGAATTACGAGCGGCACTCGAAGAGGCGGTACAGGAGAAGTTTAATTAAGTCGATCGGTCGTTCTGTGAGAATAGCTAGAAATTCAGTTTTAAAAAGGTGCATTTATGTACTCAAAACAATGGCGGATTTTTTGAACATTTTCTAAAATAACTTAAGGTGTATGTAGTGATATTATTTTTTTAAGTTTTAGTTTGTGTAATGTAAATAATTGTAAAGAGCCGTTTAGTAATATATTTTGTCTTTTTATAAGTTATAAATCATAACAAAATAAGAACACCATGCCAACTAAATGAAATTAGTCAAGGAAGATAAGAATTGGCTGTAAGTCAGTAATTTTGTGAAAAAAAAAACATATTATAGTTGGTTAGGTTAGGTTGAAAAGTTTTATAAAATGGCGCTTTTTATGAAGTCATGGCCAACTATGGTTTCCATTTGAAAAAAACATATGTCTGTGTCATATATCAAAAATGATAGGCTTTAGAAAAAATCGGAGAACAAAGACTCATTAGGGTTATGATTATCTATAACTTTTATCTGAAAACTTTTTGTCTAAAATAGATTATAATGGAATTAGGGAAAATTTTTAAAATAGCCATAATTTGTTTATTTTTTCGAAATATCTAGTAAGCCATGAACTTTTTCAAAAATCTTAAAGGCGCATATTTATGACCCCACAAAACTGCAATTCTTTCCTCATTTAACCGACCCTCTATCTCCAGTAGTTTCCAAGATACCCAGAGAGAACATCGTAGGAAACTCATCCTGTAGAAAGGTTAAAATAGAATAGAATGTTTCCAGGCATACAAATCTATTTCTAAAAAAAATATTTTTTCTCGAATTTTAAACTACACCATTTAAAAATCATTTTTACCCAATATAAAAAAAAATGATAATCTACCTAATCCCAAAGGCAGTAAGCGCCAAGTACGGGCCAAGTAAATGATGTTTAGGGCTTGATCTCGCCAAATTTATTGATAGCCATTCCCCAGCCGTCTTTGACGTCGTTTTTTTTTTCGATCGAATGGCATTATAATATTCCTTTTTCTAATTTTAGAATATGCAGAGTTTCTACATAATAAAGGAGAAAAATATAGTGACTTTGACAAAGTTCGAAGAGAAATTGAAGCTGAAACAAATAGGGTAACTGGAGGAAACAAAGGAATTTCAAATATTCCAATCAATCTGAGGGTATATTCTCCAAATGGTATGTAATAAATCTTTTTAGTAGAATATGTTTATCATTATTTGTTATAAATAGAATAAAATAAATCGATAAAATATTAAAGAATACTATTTTACATAATGAGTGTTGTAAAAGATATATTAATCACGAATCGAAAAATTGCTCGCTAGCCGCTTATTGGGAAGTGGGAAATCAATTTGAAGTAGTCAAAATGTGTAAATTTATTTTCAACACTCATAGTATCATAAATATTATACACTCATAGTCAAATATACTTTTTTCTTGTCTACCAGTTATGGGTATTTTACCTTCCAAAAAAAAGCGGAATCTAAAAAATGTTATTCAAGAAGTCCGAATATAAAAGAAAATTATATTTATCACAACTTGATTGTGTGTCTTTTTCTATAACTAGGTAATAAAATAATTTAATGTCAAAATGTATTAGTTTATTTTGAATAAGTCCTAGTAGCATCTCTCAAATATATTTTTTTCTTGTTTACCAATTATAGGTCCATTTACCTTCCAAGAAAAAAGCGCTCTCTAAAAGAACTTATTTAGGAATTTTAGTCTGGGTCGAAAAGTAAAATAAAATTGGGTTTGTAAATTCATACATTTTTCTGTCGTGTACTAGGTAATTATTAGTATTTCAACTTCAAGAATAACACACCCCAAAAGTCTTTCGCAGTTTCACGAACATCTAAAAAAGTTAGTTTTAAGAAAACAAAAGAAGCAGAATACAAAAGTAAAACCAAAGCGAGATATTAAAAAAAATATTATATCTGCTACAATTTTTTGAAGCAACTTGTATATATATATATATATATATATATATATATATATATATATATATATATATATATATATATATATATATATATATATATATATATATATATATATATATATAAAATTATGGGATGGGGTTGCAGTCGGAAGGGAATGACAATACACTTTGTTAATTGTCAAAGCGTATTAATTCTTTGTCAAACCCTTCCGACTGCAACCCCACTAAATCCCAGATTTTCTTTCTCACTAGTCAGTCGAGACTACTTTCTGCTATATATATATATATATATATATATATATATATATATATATATATATATATATATATATATATATATATATATATATATATATATATATATATATATATATATATATATATATATATATATATATATATATATATATATATATATAAACAAAGGGAGTTATCGTGGAAACTATAAAAAACGAAGAAAGAAATTTATTGGGCAAGTCCACAGAAAGATTAGTCATGATACATGACTAAAACATGACTACCCGTAGACACTCAGTGTTTCTGCCTTCCGGCTTCATCAATACGGGAGGAATCAGCAACGATGAACTAGCGATCCTGAAAAAAGAGAAAGAAAAGGAGAAGCAAACGAGGCACAAAGGCGCCATTTGCAGCTGGTCCGGCAGTAGCTTACAATTTGAAGCGTTACTACCGAAACCGCCGCGGAGGCGTTCCAACACACCTCGCCGCTATCACCCTGGCCCAGAGAAAACAATAAACAAGGAAGTTATCGTGGAAACTATAAAAAAACGAAGAAAGAAATTTATTGGGCAAGTCCACAGAAAGATTAGTCATGATACATGACTAAAACATGACTACCCGTAGACACTCAGTGTTTCTGCCTTCCGGCTTCATCAATACGGGAGGAATCAGCAACGATGAACTAGCGATCCAAAAAGAGAAAGAAAAGGAGAAGCAAACGAGGCACAAAGGCGCCATTTGCAGCTGGTCCGGCAGTAGCTTACAATTTGAAGCGTTACTACCGAAACCGCCGCGGAGGCGTTCCAACACACCTCGCCGCTATCACCCTGGCCCAGAGAAAACAATAAACAAAGGAAGTTATCGTGGAAACTATAAAAAAACGAAGAAAGAATTTATTGGGCAAGTCCACAGAAAGATTAGTCATGATACATGACTAAAACATAGGAACGCCTCCGCGGCGGTTTCGGTAGTAACGCTTCAAATTGTAAGCTACTGCCGGACCAGCTGCAAATGGCGCCTTTGTGCCTCGTTTGCTTCTCCTTTTCTTTCTCTTTTTTCAGGATCGCTAGTTCATCGTTGCTGATTCCTCCCGTATTGATGAAGCCGGAAGGCAGAAACACTGAGTGTCTACGGGTAGTCATGTTTTAGTCATGTATCATGACTAATCTTTCTGTGGACTTGCCCAATAAATTCTTTCTATATATATATATATATATATATATATATATATATACTCAAAATATATTTCTTTAAATTTTCATTATATATAATTTGTTAAAATGTTGTTTTAACAATTTTTCGGAATTCTAAATTCAAATGAGTACGATAACTAATCATTCCAACTAATCAAAGTATTCTATGAAAATATAAATTCAATTAAGATCTTATCCATTATTTCTGTGTTTATATGATATAAAATAAGCGGAGGGAAGAGGATAAATAAAATTTTATTAAAGTGGCATAAGAAAATATATTTATAAAATAAACCATGCGTTCTGAATCTGGATGTTTTATATTTTGAATTATTGATATGATGAATTCATTAGTAATAAAATAGAAATAATGCAATGTTTTAGATAAAATACAGCGTGGTTAAAAACTTTTATGCTCAAGAGATTTTTCTATAATGACTATTCTTATTGAAAACCGAAAACCGAAAGTTAATTGTTTAAAGCAAAAAAAAATATTTTTAACTATCAAATTTTACTTCATCATAAAATTTTTAGATCGTCTGGTATGACTTTCATGATCGAAAATTGATTTGAGATCATCGAAGTAGTTTGCGCACGAGACAACAAAAATATTTTTCTATACACGCCGAAATATATCTTTTATGGCGTTACCTCCAGAAATACCGGAAGTTGACAGCAACTCTCTTATTTTAAATGAGTACCCCCATTTTTTATTACATACTTAAATTTTCTGTAAAATTTTATGAACTTTGATATCAAACACTCTATACCAAACATTAACCGTTTTTGAGAAAAAAAAATTAAAATCTTTGGACGAAAAAAACTACTTGTCAAAAAATTTTGTATAGCCTAAAAGTAAATGTTAATGATTACTACAGCCACTGTGACATAAAGAGAAAACATGTGGCTATCTATTTCAAAAATTAAATTGTTCAAATGTCATTAATAATCGCGGTAGCTGTCATGGAATTGAGCGATTAAAAAATTATCATAAATCATTTTGTTCAAATGGACACCCACTTTTTTATTTCACTAATGAAAAGGTTTTTCAATTCGTTACTTTTTAACAATACATGTTCCTATACCTAAAATAAATCGTTTTTGTGCAAAAAATCTCCGAGCTAGATATTGTAGTTTCCTAGAAACTTCTAATGCATGCTCAGTCTGGGACACTCTGTATACCATCGACCCCACATATTTCACACATACGTCTACAACGGGTTTTTCGTGATAAAAAATGTTGAAAATTTTCTATTTAACAAAATCAATTAAAAATATAATATTTCGATAATGTGGCAATACATGTTTTTTTTCAATTGGAAGTGTTATAAACAAAAATTATGTCCCAAGAATGGAAAATATATTTCGAAAAACTTTATAACTCATCAGAAACTAAGGCATCAACACAGCAAATACATAGCGAAAATGTTAACTGACCCCAAATTTGGACCAATCTTAAGGAGAAAATACAGAAAATGGCAGCAAAATTAAAAAAATAGACAAGCTTTAGGCATAGATGAAATAAAGGAATGACGGAATGATCAAATATGGGGGTGATACATTACTAGTAGACCTACAGCTGAGAAGCAAATAAGTCACGTCATCGGGTACAAAAGATTCGAGTTTTTTGGATGAAAGTACTTTATATGTATATCCTAAAACCGGCCGTCTGCCGGGACCCAGCGGTCAACTTCACAAATGACAACTTGTCAAAAAGGCCAAAATCTGATTTTAGTCACGTTATTAGTACATGTATCAAAATTGTACAGTGTGTAAGGTAAGATAGATATATATCTATTTTGGCCGGCAGACGCCGATATTCGGTCGCGTATGTCGAGCAGACGCCCGCCGCGACGCTTAAAATTTGACGTAGGTCACGTCATGTGGTACAAAGGCAAATTTGGTCTTAAATGAAAGGTATTTATGTACAGAATACGGAAATATTTTTTAAAATTCTGCAGACGGTCAACAACAAACTGCAGACGCTTTAGAAAATTTATAACTTGGTATTATATTAACATGATACAATGATACAATTTTTGATACAAAAATTTATTAACAAAATAAGTCATTCTGGCGAGATTACAAGGATAAACGAACACTTAATAACAACAAAATGAAAACATAATCATCAAAAAAACATACCTACAATAAAACAGATACAAAACTTTGTAACATGTAGAAGCTCAGGTAGCTATTAGATAGCCAATACTTCTTGTCATAAAATATAAACTCAAACTATATGGCATGGGTACATCTCTAAACCTAATCGAAACACCTAAATCTAATCAAACAACACGTAAAATAAAAACTATAACCTAAAGATATAAACAGGTACCAAGTTGAACAACCAAATAGAAACATTTAGCATTTAAAAATATATGGGATCGGTACATTCCTAAACCTAATTGAAACACCTAAATCTAATAAAAAAACACGTAAAGTTAAAAATTAAACGTAAAAATATAAACAGGTACCAAGTTGAAAAACCAAATAGGAACTTTTAGCAATTAAAAATAAAAAACACACAAAATACGTAAACTATAATTATTGACAACCCACTTATTTAAGAGTCTAGGGATGCTTCAAACTATAACTATACAAATCATGTATTAAAAAGTATAAAAATAATTTCTATTGCTCATTGCTCATCATCAGAAGAATCATGGTATATATCTTCGTTTTCATCGTCGATATTCTGGACAGTATCTGGCAAAATTATATAATTTAGGCAAGCAGGGACTTTAGGACCGTCAAACCAAATCGGCGAAAACTTATTATTATTTAAAGTCCAACTATTCTTCATA